TAATACCCCATTTGTCGTTTCCAGTTATGACTTATCTCAAGAATGGATGGATCATTTCTTGTTATTTGACTAACAATTTACAAATATACATAAAAGTTTTAATGAAAATTGAGAAAATATTGAATGAAACTCATTAGAAAACTTAGAGATGTCTAACTTTTGTTTTTAAAGATCAGCACATGAGTAAAGTACACCAATTAAAAATGTTGGTTTCAATAAAGCATCAAAAGGTGACAGAGACCTTTTTATATAGACAGTCATATGACAAAAAGTTATGGTGATTCCATCTTCTTTTTGGTTATGACCAAAATATATCTTGTATTGAAAGTTCTAGAAAGCACATTTCAAGTCCAAACGAGCTCAAGCTGCCCGAATATTACACTCCCTTCACCCGCTCATCAGCAGCAAAAAAAAGCTCACATAAATAATAGATTAGCATATTTAAGCAAATTATTAAACCAGGACTACTCTATGGCAGTATAGCGTTTTGCCAAGCGCCAAGCTCAACTTTAAAAATTCTTCAAAAAGGGCAAAATATTGCCTTAAAAAAACTGGTTAACGCCCCATGGTATGTAAGAGGATATCCACAGAGATCTGAGAGTGGATTTATTGAAAAATACATTAAAGATCGTGCTCTGAAACTGTTCAATGCAATTGACAGTCACAATAATCCAACACTCAGTATCCTAAAAATACAGCGAAATTTGATAAACACAGGCAGATACAAAGACATCAGATCCATCCATAAAGCCCCGTATTTAGTGTGACTTAAAACTATCCACAGATAAAATAGAGTAAAGGTGCTGATTCACCAAGTCAGACATCTGAATATCAATAATATTGAAAGTTATATCACAATTGTCAATATCGTATTTTTAAAACTATCTTAATACTTTTCTGTTGTGCTTAAATTCAAGAGCTAATTTTTAGTTTATTCACGATTATTTGCTATATATTTATGTATACTTAATATATACGCATTTATATAATATATGTTATCTATTTAGTAACATATAATTATATTTGCTACTAAAATATTCATATTCTAATATTTATTAATAAATTGCACTATTTTGACCAACGTGACAAGTCACAGAAAGTCTCGTCATCGTGACCAATTTTTAGTTGAAATATCTCTCGCAGTCACAAATTTTTAATTTGATAATGATAGGCCTAAGTGGATCTCTACGATCG